GGATACAGTGGATACAGTGGATACAGTGGATACACTGAATACACTAGGATCCAGTGGATACACTAGGATGCAGTGAATACACTAGGATACACTAGATACACTAGGATACAATGGATACAGTGGATACAGTGGATACACTAGGATACAGTGGATACACTAGGATACAGTGGATACACTAGAATACACTAGGATACAGTGGATACACTAGAATACACTAGGATACAGTGGATACAGTGGATACACTAGGATACAGTGGATACACTAGGATACAGTGGATACACTAGGATACAGTGGATACACTAGGATACAGTGGATACACTAGATACACTAGGATACACTAGATACACTAGGATACAATGGATACAGTGGATGCAGTGAATACACTAGGATGCAGTGGATACAGTGGATACACTAAGATACACTAGGATACACTAAGATACAGTGGATACAGTGGATACAGTGGATACACTGAATACACTAGGATACATTGGATACACTGGATACAGTGGATACACTGAATACACTAAGATACACTGAATACAGTGGATACAGTGGATACAGTGGATACACTGGATACACTGGATACAGTGGATACACTGGATACAGTGGATACACTGGATACAGTGGATACACTAGGATACAGTGGATACACTAGGATACAGTGGATACACTGGATACATTGGATACACTAGGATACACTAGATACACTAGGATACAATGGATACAGTGGATGCAGTGAATACACTAGGATGCAGTGAATACACTAGGATACACTAAGATACACTAGGATACACTAAGATACAATGGATACAGTGGATACAGTGGATACACTAGGATACACTGGATACACTATACACTAGGATACAGAGAATACAGTGGATACAGTGGATACACTAGGATACAGTGGATACAGTGGATACACTGAATACACTGGATACAGTAGATACAGTGGATACAGTGGATACACTAGGATACACTGGATACAGTAGATACAGTGGATACACTAGGATACACTGGATACACTAAGATACACTGGATTCAGTGGATACACTGAATACACTAGGATACACTGGATACACTGGATACACTAGGATACAGAGAATACAGTGGATACAGTGGATACACTAGGATACACTGAATACACTAGGATACACTGGATACAGTGGATGCAGTGAATACACTAGGATGCAGTGAATACACTAGGATGCAGTGAATACACTAGGATACACTGGATACACTATACACTAGGATACAGAGAATACAGTGGATACAGTGGATACACTAGGATACACTGGATACAGTAGATACAGTGGATACACTAGGATACAGAGAATACAATGGATACAGTGGATACACTAGGATACAGAGAATACAATGGATACAGTGGATACACTAGGATACAGTGAGAGAGCGTCATCATGCACGATGACATAAAGCACACCGCTAGGACATTATAATCAGGCATACATGAAGTACTTACCCATTTTTGTGAACTAAGACACTCGAGTTTGTAGATTAGCCCGCGTTGTATCGAGTCAGCTGAACACTTTACGGTATAACACAGGAAGCCCAAATCTGACGAAACTAGTTTCCACTGAATATTTATTTGTCTTTTTGGCGTACGTATAAAAGATTACAAGTTAGGGATCTATACCTAATGAAAACAACTTTACTATGATTACAAAATCTTTTGAAGTCTCGGCTAAAACAATTCCAAATCTGATTACTCTGCTTTAACTTGGGTTACCTGTGGCGAAACCTCTAAGTAGCCTAGCCTGCTTAGTCATCTCAAAAGACGGGAAAATCTTTGTATTTGAAACAATTTCTCTTCAAAAATGGTCCTTTTAGACAACGATGGAGTAAGTTATTACTTTATTTTGCTCATGTCATTATTTATTATGATATTGGGTTTTACTTTTTGTTTTTCTCATGGATTCTTATGTGTTTTTTTTTGGTAGTTTTTGACGCAGCTTACTTACCTTGTTCAAAAGTCTCGAACATCTGGTTCAGTGTACATCACACTTAAAAAATGTAAGTTTGGAATGAATTCTTGATATAAGACTTCATCTTCAGTTGTTCCATCCTTCAAACATTTACTGAGTGTCTACGGTTTCGTTTTTAAGACAATGGTCAGACAAAACCTAAGCCTCGAGGTTCAAAGAAGATGAATAAGCTTACTGCTGTTGAACAGGATCATCATGGAGAAAGTCGATGTCTTTTTAGAGCTACGAAAGGAAATAAGAAAATTAGCACTGTGGTGAGTATATAATATTAGAAATGAATTAAACATACTAAATGTGGTATTTTTTATATTTTTTATTTTTGCTTTGAATTTTTTATGCATTCAAGCTATTATATTTATGTAAGCTTGATTGCATGACAACTGAAAAATTTTACAAATATAAATGCGCACACACATATAAATTTGCAATTAGTCCTTGAGCACAAATGGACTATGAGTCATTATAAAATAAATTAAATAGTACGCATGCTGTGATTGGTTGATAGCCATGTTTGCATGAGGGTATGTAAACACAGTTGTGACGTCACAACTTTCTTGTTTTCCCGGTACAAGTTCAAAAGTTAAAAATTTACACTTTCTTTCGAGGAAAAAAAACGCCCCCAAAAAAGTATTTTGAAGACGAAGTTCCAAATTTTGACTTGGGTCAGTGCCACAGGCATAACCCTATGGTCTCATGCAGGTCTTTCTGATCGTAATATCATGACAATCTCTCGTTGGTCACCGCAAAGAGAATTCCCTCAGGAGCTACAACAC